TGCTCAGGGTTACACAGTTACACAGCTTCAGAGGTGGTATCTGAACCCAAGGCTTCTGATTCTAAAGCCAGTGATCTTTCCACTGTGCCACACCACTTCTTTTAATGGGTCGGGGATAACAGATGGACAATCCAAAGGCCACGCTAATACCCACAGCATGTAATGGGACCCCAAGGAGGACCTCCAGCAGGATGGAGGGCAGCTGTCCACACATGGATGGGAATCTCTCAGGATGAGAAGGTTTGGAGGGCTCATGGTCTGTCCCAATAGACATCTCCAATCTATGGGCATAGGGCAGTTGAGAATCTCTGTGAGAAAGTTGAGGAAGCTTGGAGAGGTCCTCCTGCCCCAGATGGGACTTGGTTTCCAGGTCAGAGTTTCCCATATACCTTGAGGGACCTGTATCAGACATCACTTCTCCAAAGCCTGAAGCAGCTTCTGCCCAATCTAATCACACATGGAACTCAGACCCATTATGCCATTGAACAAGGGCCAGAAAATTATAGGCTGTCAAAGCTTAGGGGGCTTTGAGATCATCTAATTTTGCAGATGAAGAAAGTGAGGTTCAGATCGGGGAAGAGTCTTTCTCTTGGTAACCCAGGTAGCAGAACTAAGATGAGAGTCAGAAGCAGGGTGGTATAGTGGGTAGAGTGCTGGGCTTGGTTTCAGGAAGACTTGGATTCAAATACTAGATATGACACTAGCCAGGATAAGAATGGATAAGACATTTAATTCCTCTGAGCTATAATTAACTCATTTATACAATGTAATGATAGTTTCTGCAGGCTTGATTTAATGGACAAATGATATAATATCTGCAAAGTGCTTTGTAGACCTTAACGCACTCAATAATTGTTAGCTACACTCACTTTTCCCACAAGGGCTTCCAGCTATGCTCCCTCTCAGCTGCTGCTCTGGGGGCCAGGTTGGTCTCCCTTCCTACCCCTTCCTCTCCCAGCTGACCCTTCCTCAGCCTTTTGTTGTTCAGTATGTTCAGTTTCAGCCATGTCTAACTTTTTGTGACCCCATTTGGGGTTTTCTTGGGAAAGATACTGGATTGGTTTGTTATTTCCTTCTCTAGCTCATTTGGCAGATGAAGAAATAGAGGCAAGATTAAAGGGGTAAGTGACTTGTCCAGGGTCACACAGCTAGTAAGTGTCTGAGGCCAGATTTGAACTCAGACTCATCTTTGTGACTCCAGGCCTGACAGGCTTTCCACTGTACCACCCAGCTGTCCTTCCCCAGGCTACACAGTGTGAGATGAGTGTGAGCCCATCAAATGATCCAGCCTCCTTCTTCTCTCTGTCTTCCCTCAGAGAGGACAGTAGGTCTCAGTCCTCAGGGACCTCGTCTATATGGGCAACAGGCTCTTTGCCCCATGTCTGTTGAGCAGTGCATGATGGGAGGACTCGGACCTTTGTGGCCAGACAGAGTTCCTTGGATCTGCCAATCTCTGTGCTTTGCCCTGGCATATGGCAGGAGCTTGAGAAATGTATATTGATTAGCTTGTTAATTTGCATATATCTATATGCATACAGACACATACTAGCACATATATGTACAGGTATAAAACACATACACATACACGTACAACAAGAATGCACTGGCATCATTCTTACAGAGTGTGGCTGGCTCTATTGCCTCTCTGGGTTCTAGGGGTACTCCTCTGGAGTTGAGGTATTTCTTTTCTAATGAGATTATATCACCCCTCATTCTGGTGTGCGCTTTAGGGATATCTACATACAGCAATGGAATACTTATAAACATGCACACACGGTGTACTTTCATTTAGAAATTTAGATACGTTCCTCCTTAAAATCACTTGCTTCTCACTCCATAGGAATTTATTTACCAAAATGGTGCTGATGCCGCATTCTGGATTGGACTCGATAACCAGAAGAGGCCCAAGTGGATCTGGACAGATGGGAGCCCATTCAATGAGACTCAAAGCAAGATGTGAGTGAGTCTAGCCTGCCCTCCCTCTTCTAGGCTTTCCTTTGGCAAATGGCCCTCCGGAGACTCTGGAACCTCTCAACAGAGGAAGCCCAAGGCTACAGACAAGTCAGAGTAAGGCAGTTACATGAGTATTCAGCCCTGTGTGCATCTTCACCTTTTGTGAGCACATATGCTGTTTCTGCACATGTTTGTGTATGTGCCCTTTCTGCGGTCTTTGATCTCAGAAGCCACAGAGGTGAGGGTAAGGCCTAGGCTACGTTTTTTGTGGAATAGTGTAGGGACTCTGAAGAGTGTTGTGGGTGGGAGGGGTATGGACTTCTTTGGATTGTATCTAGAAGGGTTTAGAGCAGTGTGTCAAACTCAAAGAGTAATGTATCCCTTAGGCAGCTCTTTGACTTTGAAAAACACAAATGAACATTATGTATATTTGGTTGTGTTTTTATTTATTTTGTTAAATAATTCCCAATTACGTTTTAACCTGGTTCTGGTCATACCCTGTAGAGTTGCTGCGGCATGCTGCTCATGGGCTGCATGTTTGACACCTCTGCTTTAGAGCAGTAGAGAGAGTGTCTGCAGGGGCTACTTTTCTCCCAGGCCCTGGCTGTGGGTTGGGTCAGAATGGGATAGCCTTAGAAGGAAGGCCTCCTGAAAACTATTAGGCTAGGCCAAAACACCAGGGAACAGGTTTCCTATCAATCCTTGGGGTAGATCCTGGGAATGAAATCATTTGTATTACTCTTTCTCCCTCCAGGTTTTGGGCGCCAGGGCAGCCAAATAATAGGGAAAACAATGAGAATTGTGTTATTTCCTCGACAGTTAATCGCAAATCATGGAAGGACAAGGACTGCCAGAAGTATTTCAAGTTCATTTGTAAGAGAAAATGTGAATCAGCAAAGCTGTGCTCATGGCCCATGAGCTCTGCTGATCACCCTATTTTAAACAAAGTGGGTAGACCAGTCAATAAATCAACAAGATCTTATTAAGCAGTTCCTACATCTCAGGCACTATATAGACACCCTTTTACCTACCACCTACACCAGCTTCTGGGCTTCATTCTTTCTAAGATAATGTTTTCCCAAAGAAGCCTCGAACAATTTGCAGAGGCCTGATCAGATGAGTCAAGTGATGCCCCCAACCTGTCAGGCAGCCATAGACCATCCTCTCCAAATCATCATACACATACTGGGCCTGCACACAGTAGCCAGTCACGGTATGGACATTCCCCATTCACTGGAACAACAGGCCAGCCCTGTGCTGTTTCTCTGTCACGACATTCCATCTCTTGCTTTTAAGCGTTTTCAATGGCTGGCCATTCCCACATCTCTTTTCCCTCTCCTCCTCCTGTCCATGTCCTGGCTTCTCTGGCTCCCTTCAAGGCTCAGCTAAAGGCCCACTCTACAAGAAGTCTTCCCTAGTCTTTTTTAACCTTCATGCCTTCCCTCTGAGATTATCTCCAGTTTATCCTTTATGTATCCTGCTTGTACATAGCTACTTGTATGTTGTCTCAGTTATAATACTGTTAACTTCTTGAGATCATACATACATACACACATACACGCACATATATCTATGTAGATATATAGACATAGATGTTACATATACATGGTCTTGGGACAAGTCCCTGTGGGCAAGTCAATATCCTCCTATTGTTCTTGTATACTTAATATTCTTTGTACTGTTGGTCAGATGGAAAAAATAACTGCTTTTTATAGTTAAATAAAATAATTTGGATGTAAGCTCACTTCCATTTTTGCCTTTATGTTGCCCAGGCCTTAGCACTGTGCTGAGCACAGAGAGATAGATTCTTAAAAGTCTGTTGAAGGAATGAACTGTAATTCCCCAATTCTGCATGGACCCATTGTTAATTAACCAAAAGCAACCTCTGTTCTTGTCTTGACCCCAGGTCAATGAGGTCATATCAATCTCTCAATAGAAGTTCCTCCCGGGTCCTCATCGAAAGCCCAGCCAGAGCAGGAGAACTGGACCCCTTGAGATACCAGTGACACTAATCCAGGTAGTCCCCATGACTGATACTCTGCTCCTTGCCCCTGAGCGCCCTATGAGTGGAAGAAAGGGGAGGAGAGGAGAGGAAAGGGAGGAGTGGGGAGGGAAGGGAAAGAAGAGGAGGAACTCCGTGTGGAATATTTAAGTGCAAGTATATTTAACACGTGCTTACTCCATGCTAGGCACTGGGAATGCAGTGAGAAAAGCGAGCCAGATCTTGCCTGAAGGAGCTCTTACTCAATAAGGGTGACAACAGGTTCACAGACAATTACAGACAGAGTAGACACATGCAAATATGGAAGGGTTGGGATAGGGGAGGGGCCAACAACTAGGGAAATCAGGGAAGGCATCCTGAAGGAAGGCAGCTCTTAGGTTGAAGCCCAGGGGGATCTAGAGTATCCAAGAGGCAGAGGTGTGCAAAGGAGCATCCCAGGCAGGAGGAATGACCTGCCAAAAGGCAGAGGAGGCAGGGGATGGAATGCTGTGCAGAGGGCAGAGGGAGTAGACAGTTTGCTGGAGCACTGAGCATGGAGCAGCTTGACGGAGTAGAAAAGCTGAATGAATCTGCAGTCTGAAGACCTGGGTTCAAATGATGCTTCTGTCACTCTCCACCCATTCAAAAGTCCTTTAACTCCTCCTGGACTCAGCTTTCTCAAGTGAAAAATGAAGTAGGGTTTCTAAGGTCCTTTCCAGCTCTGAATAGATGATCCCTCTGCCTACAATCCTGCATAATTTTGTGTTTTGTCTTCATTCTATTTCATCAACAGAATAACATATGGTTGTTATTAACCTGACTGTGAAGGGGTCTCAGTGCTAAACAGAGGCACTTAGATTATATTGTCTCCTAAAGGCAATGGAGAGCTAGAGAAGTTTCTTGGTCAGAGAGGTGACATGATCAGACCCGTTTTAGTAATATGAGTCTGGCAGCTGTGTGGGTAGATGGGAGGCTGGAGGTTGGGCCATTAATTAGGAGACTTTTGCAATAGTTCAGGCAAGAAGCCTATTGCTCAGAGAGTTATACACTGAGATGATCACTCACCACTTGTCAGACCATGTGCCTGCTTGTCCAAGAAGTCCCCCGTGATCCTGAGGGATGAAGGAAACATATCCATCTCTTGACTTCATGCTCAAACCCTTACCTGTCTGCACCTTGAGATTCCTCTGGAAGCCAATGGGGAAAGGGAGGAGGAAGAAAACCTGACAGCTCTTCTTGGTTCAGAAAGCTCCAGATAAATCCCCTCTTTGCTGTGACTTACTCATGGTAAGTCCAAATGGAGGTAAAAAAAATTTCTCCTGGGATTTAAAAAACAAAATCATTTCACTTTTTCTTCTGCCCTGAGAATGAGTTCGACCTATGAGGTAAGAGAGGGAAGAGAGAGAAAACAGGAATTTCACTTGTATGCTCAGCCTCGCTGGCCACATCAGAAATTTCCCAATTCCAAACCACTATCTTGGCTGGAATGGGAAGGCCATGAGTTTTATGGGTGCACACTTGTGTCTCTTGGGGGTTATTCTACAGGTGTTCATTTGTGTTTTTAGATACTCTTCCCAATAAAAATTATGTTGGTAACATTTATCTTACTAGGAATGACCATGAGATCACAGATTTGGAGCTGGAGGGGACCTTAGAACTCACGCAGTCCCATCCTCTCATTTTAGAGGTGTGGAAATGGAGGTCCAGAGAATTTAAGTGACTAGTTATGGGCTCTATCGCTCTGATGAGCATAAGAGGCAGGATTAAAAGTGGAGTGGCCCAGACTCCAAGTCTTGGACTCTCTACTATAATATTGTATCACCCAATACTTCAAAGATTTGTGACTTCATCTCTGTTGGCCCTTCCTCCCACAATGTCCTTGACATCCATCATCACTTGAAATAATTTTCAAAAAAAAGGTTGAGGATGAAAAATTCTTTACTCTGCAAATGCAGTGATGACTTTTTCTGGGTTCGGTTACACTTGTCCTTGGTCAATAGATATATAATAAAAAGACATTTTGATAAAGTGACTGGATGGTCAGTATCAATGAGTAGCTTTTAACTTTTGTTCGATGTCAATATGGCAGGAGGTCTTTAGTGGAGTAACCCAGGGATCAGTGCTTGGCTGTTACATATCTGCTAAATATTTCTCCCAATGACTTAAATAAAGGCATAGCCGGCATCTTCATCAAAATGGCAAGTGACACAAAGTTAGGTTGGGGATGGCTCCCTCTATGGATGACAGAGTTGGGATTCCAAAGCATCTAGACTAGAGTACTGGACTTAGTTTAAGAAGATGGAATTCAATAGAGATAAATGTAAAGTTTTTCCTTGGGTGCAAAAATCAATTTTCATAAGAATAAGGTGGGGCAGACATTGTGAGGCAGCAGTTGTTGTGAAAAAGATTTAGATTTTTAAAAATCTCCAAGCTCAGTATGAGTCAGCAGTGTAACATGATAGCCCAAAAATCAGTGGGATCTTTGGTGGCATTGCTGTTACTGTAGTTCATCCTTCATTCCTGAAGAGGACCAATGACATCATATCTTGTGATATCTTGACTTGCATGTGAATTGGGTGGCATTAAATAGGGCAGAGCTTCCAGGAGTGGGGAGGTGATAGTAGCATTGTTTTTCTGCCTTTGTGAGTTCTCATCTAGAGACTTGTGTTTGGTTCTGGGGTGCCAAGACTTGAGAAGAACATTAGTAAATAGAATATTGTCCAAAAGAAGGTGACAGGGTTGGTGAATCGCCTTGAATCCCTAATGTATGAGGATCAGCCAAATGGCATGGCCATGGTTAGCCTGGAGAATGCTCCAGGGGGACATGAGTGCTCTCTTCATGTATCTGAAGGACTGTCACTTGAAGGAAGAATTACACATGTTTCTTGGGCCCATGAGGGCCGAACCAGGAGTAATGAGGGGAAGGTGCAAAGAAAGAAATTTAGGCATGATGTCAGGAAAAAGCTTGTTTGGCTCAGGGTCTGTGTAGTAAGGGATGGTGTCACAGTGTTAATAGCTGCCTAGTCTAGCCCACTCTAGTCTACTCTTTATTTTACTGAAGAGGGAACTAAAGCACCAAGGTGCAGTGGGTTGGAGTGGGGGGTAACTCAGGGGATGTCACACAGAAGTATAATGGCAGAGCTGGTACTAGCCTTCAAGTCTCCTGATTCCCAGGCCAGAACTCTAGGCCTCAGTTTCCTTAACTGCAAAAGGGGCATAATTATACATGGCATGACTACCCAACAGGAGTGAACTAAGCTTTAAGCTTTAGAACACTGAGGGAATGCAAATAGTGGGTATTACAGAGCAGTCCTCTCTGCTCAGCTGGCTCCTTTGCCAACACATCAGGGAAAGATCTGTTCCAGTTGGGGAGGCCCTATCCTCCCTCTAAGGTCCATTCTGGCCAAATCCCTGTTGCGTCCCCACACTAATTTTCACTGGTTCAAAGTTGGACTGTGATTCCTGGGTTCACAATAAAACCAAGTTATCTATTTTCATGACAAGGCTCACTGTAGCAGGACCTTCCTTATGCTCTTCTAAGATAGACTCCAATTGAGTCTTCTGTTTGAACTTGGGCAAGGAACTTGGCCAGGGATTTGGATTAAAAGGTTTCTGAGATTCCTTCCAGCCCCTGATCTATGATCCTATGACTTCTATCATGGTCCCTGCACTAGCTATTCTAAACCCTCTACTCTTTCCTTTAGAATTATTCTTTATATATAGAAATATTCTATTCTTTAGAATAGAAGCTCTTTGAGGGCAGTGACTGCTTTTACTTTGTATCCAATTGATTAGTACAGTGCCTGGGACAGAGTAAATGCTTAAATGATTACTGATTGATTTATTGACTGTTATTGAATTAATCCTGAAGCAATCTATTCTAAGCTCTCTACCTGCAAACTCTATATCTTCACCCATTCTTTCTTTCTTTGCTCAAGTCTCTGAGGGAGAGGGAGCCCTTCTTCCTATCAAGGCAGATCTTTCTACTTATTTAACCCTTGATCTTACCTCCTGCAGTCTAGAGGGAGGCAAAGGAGGGCTGCAGGAGGAGTGGAGCACAGAGAAATATGGAATGAGAGACAGTAATGTTCTGACAAAACCACATTGGGGTTTCTGATGAAGGAAGTAAAATATTTGTCAGCAGTGAGATGTAGGCTATGTTCTACATCTGAAGTGGGGCATAGGAGAAGCTTGTGACATTTGAGCAGATTGAGGAAATGTGAGGTTAGGGGCTTGAGTGAATATCAACATGATTGGTGAAGGCCCCTAGTGTGAGACCAGATGTTAGGGAGGAAAGGAAGATGGTGAGTCAAGTGCTGAAGTTCAGGAGAAGGAAGGGAGGATGAGTTGTTGCCGAGCAGATAACAGTCATCTGTGGAGGTAAAAAAAATTGTAATTGAGTGAACTTGAAAAGAAGAGAGACTCCTGAGTGATGGAAAGAAAGACAGAGTCAGGTAGTGGTCATGTCCATCATTCTGCTAGTCATCTAGGGACCCATCCTGGTCATCATCTTCTCTTCCCTCCTCTACATCCCTCCTTCCCATTTCCCAATCAGTAGTCAAGTCTTCTCAATGCTACTGCTTTCATATCCATCCATCAGCTTCTCACCACTTACCTGGCTCTCACCTTGGATTAGCATCTCAGCACCTTTCCTTAGACTATTATAAGAGTCTTCTATTTGTCTTCCTGCCTCTAACCCATCCTCCACAAAACTGTAGGATCTTAAATTTAGAGATAGAAGCATTCTAAGAATTCATATAGACCAACCTCGAATTTTATAGATGAGGAAAGTGAGACCCACTGGGGGTAAGTGGCTTGTCCACTGCTGTAGAGTTGTGAGTAGTATTGGCATTTTAAAGTGGCTGAATTACCTGTGATTTCATCACTCTTTCCCCTGAGTCCCTGCTGCCTTCACATGGCTGGCAGAATTATCCTTTCAGAATATCAGCCTAATCCCACCATGCCCTTGGTCAAAACCCTTCAGTCACTCTCTACTACTGCTAGTATTAAATATGTACCATGTCCTTAATCTGGTACTTAGGTTCTCCGAGGCTAGTTCCAATCTCCTATTCCAGCCTTCCTTCATTTTTGTCCTCCTCACTCATTCTGTGTTCTAGCCAGATCAGTCTAAGAGGCATTCTCCAGACTTAGTGGTCCATGTTCCACCTCTATGCTGTGACACAGCCCTTCATCCCTACCCAGAATGCCCTCCCTGCTTATCCTTACCCCTCAGATTCTTTTTCTTTCTTCAAGGCTCATCTCAGGTTCCACCTCTTTCTTGAAGCCTTCCGTGATCTCCTTCAGGTGTTAATCCTCTCTCTGTACCTAAATTACCCTATAATTATAGTCCTATAGGAAAAATGTCTTCTTCTGGAAGGCAAGGTCCGTTGAATCTCTATATCCCTGAAGCTTAGTGCTTGAAAGCATCTAATACATTTTTGATGATCAGAATTGAATTGAATCTGGTCATTTGATCTACTGTGTGACACAAGGGGAAAAGGGCTAGATTTGGATGTGGGTTCAAATCCCAGCTCTGTGCTTGCTGTGTGCCCTGGGGCAAGTCCTTTCCCCTTTGGGGGAGAAGGGAAGTTTCCTCACCTGGGAAATGAGAAGATTGGGTCAGATGACTTCTAAAGTCCCTTCCAATTCTAATGTGATGATCCCATGTTCCTCCTACAGAACCCTGTGACTTAGGTATTGCCCCATCCCTATTTCTCGTAATGAGGAAACAGCTTTTGTTTTCTAGGACTTCCTAGGAGCCATAAAGCTAAGGAAGCTGGTGAAGCTACAAAGTGGGCTCCCAGCCTAGTGCTGTTTCTAGGGCAAGACATTGATGCTGGTCAGACCAGAATTCTCCCTTGTCTCCTAGCCCAGGGCTTTCTCTAGACCCCAGTGCCAAGTGCCAAGGGCAAGGCTTCATAAGATCAGCCCATCAAAGCTGCAAAGGAACTTAGAAGTCACCTAATCCAAACTCCTCTTTTTACAAAGAAGGCAACTGAGGTCCATGAAGACAGAAGGACTTGCCCAAGGCCAGATGGGAAAGAAGTGGCAAAGCTAGGAACTGAACCCAGATCCTTTAACTCAAAATCCAGTGGTCATTCTTACTGCACTGTGCTATCTAAGGCAGAAGCCATGGTCATCTCAAAATGGCATGACTACATGTTAGCCCGTGTGAAAAAGAGCTGGGGATTTAAGTGGACTGCAAGTAAAAACAAGTCCAAAGTGTAACGTGACAGCCAAAAAATTCTAAATACAATTTCAAGATGAATGAAGAAAAGGGTTATGGGGAGAACAAAGGTGTCACTTAGACTATTAAAGAATCAATATGGTCATCTGAGTATTTTTGAGTGATTAATGACACTTGCTATCCCACTGCCTGAGAACTAGGTGTGACTCTGTGTTACTTTTCATCCCTCCTCCAGGGTCCTCTGGTATCCTAAAAGATTTGGGAGGAATCTATTCTCTCTACCATTGGATAAAGTCCTCATCAGATATATTGTCTCAATTTTAGGGCCCTCTTTAACCACTTAACAGTAAGATTAACTTTAACAAAGGAATATTTACTTCAAAGATGTAGCAAGAACAGACATGTAAACATTGCCCTCAGTGTAGGGGGGCATAATTCCCCCACCTTATACCACCACTATCTCTGGGGAGGGAAGGAGGATTAGGTTCATAGCTCAATTCAGTTCCTAGGTAGCATGGTCCCACCAAGTGGCAAGCCCCAAGACCCCCTTGGCTGGTGCCCCAGGACCCTGGCTTCTCAGCTGAGCAGCAACATCTGGCTTAATATGGCTCCAAGGTTGCTGACACTTGAGATCCTGGGTCTGGGGACGCCATTATCTGTTCCAGGAACTGAAAAGCACAAATAAACAGATTGAAATTTCAAACCTATTTTGGGGGGTTGCAAGACCTAAAGGTAGAGGGGAAAGTGTATCTAACTCCATACTCAGCTTCATTTATGATTCCTATGCTGCAATCAAATAGAGCCTTCTACCTTGGTGGGGAGAGGCAGAGACACAGAGCAAGAGAGGGAGACAGAGACTGTTCCAGTCTGGTGGTTTTTAAAGATGCAGCCAAAGGCAAGAAGCCGCTCCCACCCAGGAGGTAGGAGGATACAGGGCTTTTCCCAGAAGCAGATCCCTACCATCCCACACGGGTGCAAAGCCCCATCATCATAATAAAGATGTCATATTTCTGTGGCACTTTGAAGGTTTACACGGTGTTTCCCTCACATCAGCCTTGTGAAGCAGATAACACTTCTTATTCCCCCATTTTACAAGCAAGGACATCAACAGGGAGCTCAAGTGATTTCTCCTTGGCTACCAGACACACACATAACAAGAGCAGGACTTCATCTCAGATCTTCTAACTCCCAGGGCTCTTCCCAGCATGTCACAATAGTTACCATTCCCTCCCTTCCTTATTATCAAGAAAGGGAGCTTGGGGGAAGGAGGGAAGAGAAAAGGAGGGGAGTCACATCAGAGAGAAGGGCAGGGAAAGAGGAAGGGGAACAGGGCGGATCACCCACTTTCTGACACTACCTGCCACTGGATCACCATCATGGCTCTTGGCTCTTGGCAGAACAACGAGGAGGAAGTCATGGAGCCAGACATTTGAATCTGTCACTTCCTCTTGCATTGCTCTGATGATGAGAAGGACACTTCTCAATTAGGACCCAGAGCTGGAAAGTGATCCCACTGGCCAGGCTGCTCTTGAGGAGAAGCAGGATGGACCAGTTGCAAATCTCTGAAAATGTGACCCAGGAAAATGAATCACATCAGGCTGCAAAAGGTAAGGGGTTGGGGAGTCTCTGAGGTGGGTGGAGAAGAAGACAAGTCTCCAGAAAATTATGATTATCATTCCAGGGCTGATGACACTTACAGCGCATCAAGTTCAACCCACCCATTTTGCAGATGAGTAAATTGAGTCCCAGAAAGGCTAACCAGGGCTGTGTGAGGAGGGTCACATAGCTCATAAGTGATTGAGGTGGGTTTCCAGTTCAGGTGGTTCAGACTCCAATTCTAGCATGCTCTTCACAAGGCTGACTCATCCATGGATTAGCTCTGTTGTGGTGGGTGAAGGCTATTTGAGGAGCTAGAAGGCTGAAAGTGGGGGTGGAGGTGAAACTGATGAGAAAGAGGGCTAAAGGTCCTTTTTCTTTCTGCTCTCCCCATTCTATCCAAAGTACACCTTGTGTCCTGAGCCAGGGACTTGAGGCAGGGGAAAGATGAGCCCTAGCCTGTATCTTGAAGTAGTACACATTCTAAGAGAGGTGGCAAGACAGATAGAGCCAATAGCCTGGGAAGCCTCAGGGTGCGATGGAAAGAGTCTTGAGCTGCGAGTTCCTGGGTCTGTCATTTCCAAGCTGTGTGTAACCCTGAGTCAGTCACTTGCCTTCAGGGAATGGGTAATGGACCAAAGGGTCTCTAAGGTCCCTTCTCACTATACAACCAATGGTTCTGTGACTAGAAGATTCCTGGGGCACCTTCTAGATGCAGCATGAATAAGGCAGGAAGAGGTTCCCTGCAGTTGGCTCTCGTCAGACCACATAATAACACTGACAACTAGCATTTATCTAATGCTTTAAGGTTTTCAAGCTTAATGTAGATATTATCTCATTTGGTTCTCCCAACAGCTCTGGGAGGGAGGTGCTATTATTATTTTTGTTTTATAGATAAGGAAATTGAGGCAGCCAGCTGTTAAGTGATTTACCCAAGGTCACATAGTAAGAGTCTGAGGTTGTATTTGAATTCAGGTCTTCTGATTTTGTGTCCAGGACTTTAACGGCTATTCCATCCAGCCATCTTATCACACCTGGAGTATTGTACTCAATTGTTTACTTCAAGGTTTAGGAAAGACATTGATAAATCGGAGTGTCCAGAGGAGGGGAATCAGAATGAAGAAGGGCCTTGAGTTTATCCGTAGGAGAATCAGGTGAAGGGACTAGACATGTTTATCCTGGTAAAGAGAAGGCTTGGGAAGAGGAGGAGGATGGCCTTGTTTAATTAAGAGTTTGAAGAGATGCCACTTGTAGGATGGGTTAGACTTGGTCTCTTCTGACCCAGAACCAGGAGCAATTACAGCTCTCTGCCTGCTACACCCCATTGTTCTCTGAGGGTGGGGAGAAGAGGGAAGACTCATAAATAAATGACCACAGAGTTTTTCCCTTTCGCTCTGATTCTTCTTATGCAACATTACTAATGTGGAAATATGTTTAATATGATTGTACATGTATAGCCTATATCAGATTGCTTGCTATCTTGGGGAGGGGGGAGGAGAGGGAGGGAAAAATATTTGGAATTCAAGATCTTATAAAACTGAATTTTGAAAACTATCTTTACAAGTAATTAGAAAAAAATAAAACACTGTTAAGCAGGTAAAAGATGACCACAGACAGGGTCTTACTTAGAGCTGAGATTCATCACTCCGGGGGCGGGGGTGTTGTTTGTTCCCTGAGCTAGGGGTCCCTGTATAACAGAAAAAGCAGGGGAGATGGGCAGTGGGTGTGGGGTGCAGTTGGGCTGGCTTCAAGACTTGTCATCTGTGTCACCTAAGACAAGTTACAGTCTCTCTGAACTCCTCTGCCCTATCCCTGTGCAAGGAAACCTGCCCTCTTCACACCTAGGATCTACATTCACCTGCCTGACTCTCCTCTCCTCTACCGTAAACACTAGCTGCCTTCTCCTTCTTGCCTCAAGGTTCCTGTAATTTCTATTCAGCAACCAGTCTTTCCATGTTTTTCAGGATCAGGGCCAGAGTCCCAGTTCCCCTCGTTACCTCCTCCATCTTTTGAAGCTTATTAACTCTTTATAATTTGGCTTCCGACCTCATCATTCCAGCTAGACTGCTCTCTCTGAAGTTATCAGTGATCTCTTAGTTGCCAAATCTAATGGCCTTTTCTCATTCCTCATACTTCTTAACTTCTCTGCAGTCTCTGACACTGATGATCATCCTCTTTTCCTTGCTCTTCTCTGGGTTTCCTTGATGCTACGCTACCCTGGCTGTCCTCCTTACCCGCTTTACCTCTGCTGGCTCTCCTTCTAGGTCATGTCCACTAACTGTGGGTGCCCTCTAGGATTTTGTCCTGGGCTCTCTTTTCTCCCTTTACATCATTTCATTTGTTGATCTCATAAGTTCTCATGGATTCAATTATTATCCCTGTGCTGATAATTCTCAGATCTACTGATCTAATTCTAACCTCTCTGCTGACGTCCAAACTTGCATCTCCAGCAGACATCTCGACTTGGATAATGAGTAGACATCTTAAACTCAGTACGTCCACAACAGAACTCATTATCTTTCTCCCTAAATCCTCCTCCCTCCTCCCTCCTACCATCCTCTCAGTCCTTCAGGCTCCCAACCTAGGAGTAATCCTGGACTCCTCAGTATCTCTTACCCCCTATATCCAAGCTGTTGATTTCACCTCTGTAAGATCTCTTGAATATACCCCCTTGTCTCCTCTGAAACTGCTTCCCCCTACAGATTCTCGTCACCTCACACCTGAACTATTGCACTATCCTGCTGGTGGGTCTGTCTGCTTCAAGTATCTCCTTACTCTTGTCCATCTTCCAAAGAGCCATCAAAGTTATCTTACTAAAGTGCAGGTCCATCGTGTCATCTCTCCACACTTCCCCATTCAATCAATTCCAAAGGATTTCCAAAAGAGAGAATATATGTTCTTACTATATAATGCTAAATATATAATGACCCACTTATCATTTATCCCACATGAAACTCTCTAAGCAGATAGTTATTGTGAAATTTGATAAGTCTCCAAAAGCCTAATGTCAGAATCCAGCTACTTGTCCTGGGAAGAAAGGAGACTTCTCTGTTGTTTATGTGAATTTAAAAAAAAAAATTCCAGCTCTAAAAATGGAGACACTAACTACTCCAACTCATCTCTTTCCCTCTGACCATTATTGGATGCCCATCATTTGTGGTTCTTCATCATGATGAACACAAGCAATGGCTCCCTCCAAACAAGGTCCATCTCTCCATCTCTAATGGGAGAACCTTACAGCTGTTACTGAGTTCCCAAAGTCCAGAGCTCTTTCTGCTTCCCTTCCTCCCCTAGCTCATATTCCTTTACCCTCTAACCTCAGGATGGAAGTGAAAATTCCCCTCTGCCTCCTCACTTCCTTTTTCTTAGTTTCCTCCTTGACACATTTCTCAAATTGCAAAACACCATTCTCCCTGATAACCTGGAAAGCAGAAATCTGTTCCTCCAGCCTTTTCACTTCCACTTCTGGGATGGAGACCCACTGGCACAGTGTACATCTGTAGGTAGTACGTGGTATCAGCAGAAATGCAAGTATAGAACATCCTGTGTAAGTCACAGAAAAGCTTTCACATGAGTGTGAAGCAAAGTCCAGGGTCCTTTGCCTTCTGTTTTAGTTGTCTTGTTGATTAATGGGCAAACTAATTACATATCTTATCTGGTTCCTGCACAAGTGCTCCATCCTGGGAGGCTCTTGGCCAAAGCCGATTTTTTTAAAGGGTGGACTCCTTGCTTTCATGATTAGGTAATTTGCTCAGACTTTAATTGACTATTAGGATATTTTTGTCACGACCTAATGCAGAAAGAAGCAAATGGAAGGCGATCAATAAATGAATACCCAATTATTTAATTAAATCTATCCATTCTTTCCTTCTTGAAGTTGATCTCTAGATATCCCACTGTACTTCCCTGACCACTAGGCTCTCCATCATCATGGTGGGGCCAAGAGAAGGCTGAAGAAGGAGGAGATTAAATTTATTTAATAGACACCAAAGGCAAGTCACAAGCTGATATAGCTCTATGACATAAGCAAAAATACTAAAAAATGAAAAATGGAAATCAATTAATTTAATTGGAGATAACAACATTTTCCATCTTCTTCCATAAGATTTTCTGTTCTTAGTGGGGATGGGAATGAGGATTAATTTATTGAGCAGGCACAAACGTGGAAGGAAGGAAGAAAGGGAGGGAGGAAGGGAGGAAGGAAGGGAGATAGGGAGGGAAAGGGGGAAATAAAAAGGGAAGGAGGGGGGAAAGTGGAAGAAAAGAAGACAGGGAGGAAGAGAAAGAGGGAGGAAGGGAGCAAAGGAGGGAGAGAGGAAGGAAGGAAGAGAGAGAAAGAGGGAAGGAGGGAGAGATAAAGGGAGAGAAGGAGGGAAGAAAACAAGCATTTATTAAGTGCTTACATACTTGGCACTGTGCCAAGTGCTTTACAACTATTATTTTATTTGAGATTCTCAACAATCCCGTGGGGCTGGAGCCATCATTATTCCCATTTTACAGATGAGATTTTGAAGCTGAGTCCAGAGCTGTTGTCCTACTCTGCCATCTTGCTTCTCTTCTCTCCTTCCCTTGGACTTCTAAGTCAGCCAGTCATGTCATGAGGGCCAGTCAATCACTATTTGCTGTTTGCTTGGCAAACTGATAGACTGGCCAAAGTATGGACCCAGGTGGAGCTCCTGAGTGGGAGAAAAGATCTGAACCATGTTCAGAGCTGCATATTGCATTAAATGCAGTTCAGCAACTTTTTATTAGATGACCAATACTATGATACTATGATTCACAGTGACCTGCATTTGCGTTTTCTCCCTTTACTAGATGGTGTGCATCCTGGGGACAGGAGTGATGACTTCTCTAAATTTTGGATCTTCTCTAGTGACTGACATGGTGCTCTGGTTACAAGAAATCCTTAATACTGTTTATCAAGTGAATAAATGATTGAATGGAAGGTGTTTGAGAGCAGAGAACACTGTGCTGGGCACTGTCAGACACACAAAAGGAGAAGATATGATAAGGTCCCTGTCTGCGTGGAGCTCAAAGTCTAGTAAAGGGAAAAGAGAGAAATATAGGCTTCTATAATGCCCCATGACATAGGATAAGTGCATTCCAGAAGCAAGAAACAGTGGAATGTGGATTCTGGAGGAGAAATGGTTCTCACCAACTGGACCAGATGGATCAGAGCAGGTGTTTGAAATAGTAGGGCACAGTGATCAAGCAGGTGATTTCAGGAATACCTGAGTTCAAATCTGGCTTCAGATGCTTACTAGCTGGTTGACCTTGGGCAAATCACTTAATTTTGCCTGCCTCAGTTCCCCCATCTGTAAAAAGGGGATAATAACACCTAACTCCCTGGGTTGTTGTGAGTATCAAATGAAATATTTGTAAAGTGCCTAGTACAGTTCCTGACTTACAGTAGGTGCCTAATAGATGCTTATTCCCTTCTCTTCCCCTTGATCCTGGTTCTATTCTGAGGATCTTATGGCACACTGGAAAGAGTAGTGGATTTGTACTCTATTTCTAGTGACAGCTAGGAAGCATAGTGGAAAGAGTATGAAGCTTGAGGTCAGGAAGACCTGAGTTTGGACTAGCTTTGTGATTCTTCATAAGCCAGCCAACCTTTCTGGGCCTCAGTTTCTTCATCTGTAAAATGGGAGTTTAGACTAGATGACTTTTGAGCCCTGAATCTATACTCATACATTCCTATGCTGACAGTGCAGCCAATGACTGATGGAGAGGTTCTGCTTCCTAAGGACTCTTTCCTCTCCTCCCTCTGTCTAGCCTATCGGATCCTCAAGGCTATCCACACTGCCCTGGCTCTCTTGGCTATTGCCCTGGCTGCGGCCCTGACGGTTATGACTCTTCTGCGTAAGTTCCCCATTCAGAGGGCTCCAGGACACAAACCTCTTTTTCTGATCAGGCAGAGAGAAAACACCAGAGCGAGTCCTGGGAAGGAGAAGGGTCTGGAGTCTTTAGACCAACTCCTGTAATGGGTTTGGGAGTGAAAGGGGCACAGTGGGGATCAGGCATAGTATTGGCCCCTCTTTAGCTTCTCTGGAAAGGAAAGGAATCATAGGCAAAGGGGAGTCTAAAGACTCAATTAGTCAGTCTTTAGCTCTACCTGCTATGATGTGCAAGGCACTATACTAAGCACTGGGGACACAAACATGCGGAAAGGAATCAGGCCCTGCCCTCAAGGAGTTGACAATCTATGGGGAGAAACAGCATCCACTCATGAGATCATACCAAAACAAACAAATAAAAATACACAAAGTAAACGAAAGGTAAATTGTGCTTCCCCATGGCAGGGTGGGTGTAGGTGTAGTGCTAGCAGCTGGGGGTGGGCCATGGGAATCAGGAAAGAACTCCCAGGGAAAAGGAAGGAGCTCAGAAGGGAGCTACAGATTCTAAGAGGAGGAAAGGGGAGATAAAGGCACACTGGTGAGCATACCATACATGAGGAACAGTAAGAAGGGCAGTTTGGAATATCTGGGATCTGGCCAGAGAGATGATGTGGGGCCAGCAGCCCCGGGCTGACGAAGCAGGGATCTCCATGGAGTTTCAGAAAGAACTGGACATGAGACTTGCCTCTGAGGCCTTCTAGCTACCTGACCATGGACCCTAAAAAACCAAACCAAGCCAATATCTCCTTTTGTTAGCTTTAAAAGGGGGACAGTATTGTCATAGAGTTCAAATAAAATAATGTCATAGAAACCACTAAATATCATCAGTGATCAGTGAGATCATCAAAGGTCCATTCCCATCCTATATCTTATGATCTGACTATCTGGGCAGCTAGGCACCCCAGTGGATAGAATGCTGGGCTTTGGGTCAGGAAGACCTGGGTTCAAAGCCCACCTTAGACACTTATTGGCTTGTGACCCTGGGCAAGTCACTTAACCACTTTCAGCCTCATTCTCCCCATCTGTAAAATGAGAATAATGATAGCATTTGCCTCACCGATTATTGGGAGGATCAATGAGATAACATATATAAAGTGGTTTGTAAACCTTAAAGTGCTCATGAACACTAGGCAGCATCATCATTATGACTACCCCTTTCATTTTACGAGTTAGGCGACTGAAGTCCCTGAGAGGTTGGGTGAGTTCCCAAGGTCACACAGATGGAAAGGGCATCATCAGAGCCACTAGTAGTCCATTCAGGAAGACCTGAGTTTACATCCAACCTCAGATACTTATTGAGTGAATGATCCAGGCAAGTCGCTTAACCTTTATCTGCCCCAGTTTCCTCGATGGTAAAATGGAGATAATATTAGCACCTACTTTCCAGGTTTTTATGAAGATCAAATGGATTAATAATTGTAGAGCCTTTAGCATGGTGCCTCGGACATAGTAAACACTACGTAAACATTAGCTGTTGTTGCTGTTTCTACTCTAATGCCCTTTGATATGCATAAAAGTGTTATATACATGTGGTAATATTATTGGTCATGGGTTTTTGTTCCTTTTTTTTTTTTTGGTCCAGACTTAGGATTTTAACCACATAGAGAGAACCCCAAGAGGAAACTCTATGAAAACTAATCAGTAATGATTCTGGTACTTAAGAGGAGAGGGAGGCTGCACCAGAGGGCCTTTGGGTTCATTCTAGTTCAAGACCTGTGGCGTTGGGCTGCCCTTTCTTGGGCCACATGAAATGAAGGTTAAGTGACTTCACCAGGGTCACAAAGCTGCTATGTGTCAGGGACAGGGCTTGCACCCACATGTGTTCACTCACTTTTATAGACCACAGAAAGGGGCTGCTCATCTAACCAGTGCCCATCTTCCCCCTGAGCCTCAGCAAGCCAATCATCAAGGTTTCTGGGTATCTTTTTGGCAAGGCACCAGTGGCTACACCCATGCTCCATGGGGAGATTTCTCCAAAGTGCCATGTCCTGTCAAATCTCAGTCTAGTCCATTGGGAACTGAGGAGATGGATCAGTGACTCCCCTGACTAATGACCATCTTAATTTAAAATATACTCACTCTGGGGCAGTTAAGTGGCACAGTGGATACAGCACTGGCCTTGAAGTCAGGAGGACATGAGTTCAAATCCAGCCTCTGACCCTTATTAGCTGTGGACCCTGGGCAAGTCACTTAACCCCAAATGACTCCACTTACATACATATACACACATGTGCATACATATACATGTATGTATATGTATAAGTATGTGTATTCACTCCTCATCTCCACAGTTTCCTGAAACTCAGCTCGAGTACCACCTCTGACAAGAAGACCACTCCCCAGAAATTTCTTGTATTTTCCTTTATAATTTTTGTATTTAATCATGATTATAGATTAAGAGCTAGAAAGGAATTTAGAGGTCATCTAGTCCAACCACTTCACTTTACACATGAGGAAACTGAGATCCCAGACTGCTTACACGACCTACCATGGCTATGTGTGAGACACTGTGTCAGGTACTCAAGATAGAAAGACAAAAATGAAACAGTACCTGACCTCAAAGTGCTCATATCCTACTGGATAGTAAAACAGTACATAGATACTACATAAGGCAGGTGGTGGAGTATAGTGTAGGAAATGCAGCATCTGGAGTTGGAGCACCTGTGTTGGAATTCCAGCTCTGTATAACTTTTGCTCAAGGTCACCTGGCAGAGCATGGGCCTAATCAAGGCTTACTGAATTAACCTTCTGACAAATTGACCCCTGGGACTTCTCTCCTTCTCATCCCCATGTAGTACTAGATCTTCAAGGGGAAAATGATCAACTTGGGAAGATCCAAGCCTCCAGTGATGCCTTGAGAGCAGAAAACAGTAAGTCCAACCTTCTACTCCTCTCTTTGCATTGACGTCCAGCCCCAGCCCAGGCCTTCCATCACTCAAGCTTCAGCATCACATGGGAAGGTATTTAAGATGCAGGTGGCTGGCTCCTCCTTTCCTGGCTTCTTCACTGTCCCTCATCTTGGCTACTTCAGAAAGAGAGAGAGAAAGGTCCTTCTTTCCTAAGCCACCAAATGTCTTCCCTGTACGAAACACCAGGATCCCAAGGGGCTTCTGATCAGATAACAATAGGTAGAGTCTACCTCACACTTACCAAGATTTGGTCCAGAAGGGGCTAGAAGGCAGAGCTAGACCTAGATTAACTCTGGTCACTTTCTCTCCTCATTCCTGATGCTCTTTCTTCTCAAGAAAACCTCATGCGCAAAGTACCAGAGGCTTGGGTGGTCCACAATGGAAGTCTCTACTACTTTTCCTGTATGGACAAGTCCTGGGAAGAGGCTGAGAGGTCCTGTGTGTCATTTGGTTCCCACTTGACCTCAGTGATCTCAGTGGAAGAGCAGGTCAGTGCTACCCTTGGGGACCTTAGAGATGGGAGGCAGAAATGTCAGCAAGTTGGGTGTCCATGGGCACATCACTTCCCCTCTCTCTTGGTTTAGCCTTACATTTCAAGGGACACAAAGAAAACCTCCCATTCAGATGATGAAAATACAGGTTTTATTGAACACACAGAGAAGCAAAGCATCTAGAACTAGGAGGTCCTTTGCCCTGATCAGACCACATGCAAAGAATTGGGTTTGGTTTTGAATTTAGGAATCTCAATCCTGAATCTCAATTTAGTAAGAGAATTAACAAGCTGCGCAGTGTCTGGGTTGATGAATGATCCTGAGTTCGTGCAGAATCAACTGAAGGAAGTGAGAATGCTTGATCCTGAGGAAAGAAGACTTAGAGGGACATGATAGCTCATTCCAGTTGGCTCCAAAGGGCAGGAGCAATGGCTATTTTACAAAAGGTAGTTTTAAGCTTGATATGGGTGAAACTTCATAAAAGAGAATTATCACGCACTAGAATGGGCTGTTTCAGGAGGAAGACCTCACTTGACTTACATAAGAAGAGGCTGCCAAGTGTGGCATAGAAAAAAATACATTTTTAGGGATGGGTTGGACTTTATGGTCCCTGAAGACCCTTTCCACTTAGACACTGATTTTGTGACCTCTGAAGCTATCTAGTCTAATTGGCTCACTTTGTATTTGTGGAAATTGAGGCCCAAATAGATTTAATGGCTTACCCAAGGAGGATGGCTGTGAATTTCTGATTTCTTGAGGTGCTATGCTTTAACTGCTTCTGGACAGAGAGCCCTCCAGGATACATGGGTCTCTGATTCATATCTGGTAATGCTTGGGAGCTTGCTTGCCTTACTGAGGTTAGCTTGGCTGTAGGTATCCTTTTCTATTGTTTATGGACTTCTGGTGACTTGTGTTTCTGTATCCCCAGGGCTGAAGGGGTCACTCTAATTTTGCATTTGATTTTTGATCATGATTCAGTCTAATGAGAATTTTAGGGTTTTTTCTAGAGTAGGTATATGGGACCTGTCAGTCTTCCTGCTTTTAGGAAGTTATCTTGGTGAGAACTCTTAGTGTATCCTTTTCCTCTACGTTGTCTTTCTTTTTTAAAGATCACCAAAACATAGCAAAACCACTCCCACATCTTCTGTCTTATCTAACTCCCTTTACTACCCTTAATGACATTTTAATTCAGGGGAGTATAAGTTCCTTTTACTCCTATTAGAATGTAAACACTTCAACCATATGTTGTTCAGTCATGTCTGACTCTTCCTGACCCATTTCTTGGCAAAGATACTGGAGTGATTTGCCATTTTCTTCTGCAGTGTGTCCCCATTTTACAGATGAAGAACTGAGGCAAATAGGTGTTAAGTGACTTGCCCAGAGTCACACAGTTAGGTGCTCTATCCACTGCACCACCTAGCTGTCCTCTTTATCCATATGGTTCCTTCTAACTGCTCAAATGTATTCATTGATTTGCATGTTTGTCTTGACTCCTGCATTTGCATTTCAAAGTTTCTAATCAGTTTTGGGCTTTTTATCAGGAATGCTTTGAAGTACTTCATTTCACTAAAGTTTCATTTTTCCATTGTTCTCTCTCCAGAGACAATTAGAGAAAATATACCAAGAAATACCCAAGGAAGTCAGAAAGTCACAGCCATTTTCCATGAGCAAAAGCCATTAAATCTCCTTGGGCCTCAGTTTCCATATCTATAAAATGAGTTAATTAGTATTATCTCTGTGAGACAATATTCTAGTCTTCTGGGTAAAGTATTCTTGGTTGTAAGTCTGTATTTCTCGCCTTTTGCAACGTCATATTTCAAATTCTCCTCTCTTTTAAAGTGGTAGCTGTCAAATCTTGTGTGTTACTAACTGGTTTCTCACTGTTTGAACTTCTTCCTAGATGTTTGTAATTTTTTTCCCCCTTTTGAACTGGAAGCTCTAGATTTTGGTTATCATGCTTTTGTGAGTTTTAATTTTGGAGTTTCTATCAAGAGATGACTATTGTATTCTTTCTACTTTCATTTTGCCTTCTGATTCCAATAAGTTTGGGTTGTTTTGATGAATGATTTCCTGAAATATGATAGAAAGAAAGAAAGAAAGAAAGAAAGAAAGAAAGAAAGAAAGAAAGAAAGAAAGGAGGAAGGAAGGAAGAAAGAAAGAAAAGAAATATCATATCCAGGCGTGCCCCCCCCCTTTTTTTGATCAGTACTTTTAGGTAATACCATTAGAATTTTTTTTCTCCTAGAATTGTTTCACAGGTCAGTTGTTTCCAATATGAGATGTTTTACATTTTGTTCTATTTTTTCCTCCTTTTGTCCTTGTCTTTAATATTTCTTGTTGTCACATGAAGTCATTGATTTTTTTTTTTTTGCTTCATTCTAATTTTCAAAGAGTCTGTTACTTGGGAAACTTCTTAACCCAGCTGTTAATTCTGCTCCCAGTCTTTCCTTTAGAGCTCTCATTTATTTTCTATTTCTTTCCTCTAAAGCTGTTATTTGATTTACACAACCATTTTTTAACTCTTACTTTACTTCATCCAGGCATTCTAGTTGGCCTTGTGGCCACTCTGTGTTTTTCCTTGAGGCTTTGTTTTTGGATATGGTGAAGTTATTCTCTTCTTCTGAGTTTGTGACTTGGATGTTCCTGGCTCTATACCTGCTATCATTGATACCTTTTTTTTTTTTAAACTCATTCTTCCATCTTTACTTCCTGGATTGGGACTTTGTGTTAGGTTCAGGCTTTGAGCACTTCTGGAGGGAATGTTGGAATTTCTTTGGTCCTGACTTGTATTCTCTGGGAGAAGGGGTGCTGCTTTTTTTTTTCTCCCAGTATTATATGCTATGTTCTTCAAGAATCTCAGAGGTATCTGCAAACTTTCATCATGCCCTAAATGTTCTAACCTAAAGAATGCTCTGATTGCTATCCTCCCAGTTTGAGCTTTGCAGGCTCCAGAACCCAGACTTGGGATTTAGGAATCCCTGCATACACCTGCCTACACACAATGGAAAACTTAGGAATAGGCACACCAAAGTGCATATTTATGTACAAATATAGACACATGCCTCCTTAAAAGCATCCTCTTCTCACTCCATAGGAATTTATTCATAAAAAAGCTGGTGGTAGCAACTATTGGATTGGATTGAACATCCTAAGGAGCTCAAACTGGAGATGGACTGATGGGACCCATTATAATGAAGACATGAGCAAAGAGTGAGTCCAGCCTGCCCCTGCCTTCTTTCCTCTGGTCCTTCTTTTTGTCCCAACATCCCATGGAGACAATGAAAGCTTTCCCCAGGGAAAATCCAAGGTGGATGAAAAAAAGACATGCACTATCCATCCTTCCCTCTGTGAGTATGTATGCTGTGTACATACATACATGTGCATGTATGTATGGTGTGTATGATGTGTGTATGTGTGGGTCATGTGTGTAGCATGTGCATGTGTGTGGTGCATATGTTTTATTAATTGTGTATATGCATGGTGGCATGTGTGTGTACATACACATGCATGTAACCACAGTGTAAATGTGTACGTGTGTGGTATGGTGCATGTGCAGTATGGCACATGTGTGTGTGTGTGTGTGTGGTATGTGATGTGTGTGCAGTGTTGTGTGTGTTTGTGTGTCTGATGTGTGGTGTGTGTATGTATGTGGTATACTCATTTGTTTATGTGATGTATGTGCATGTGGTATATGTATGTGTGTATGGTGTGCATATGTGTGGTGAAGAATGTAGATATGTATGTGGTATATTTATATATGTATGTGTGTGGTATATGTGTTTGTGTAGTGTGTGCATATGTGTATGGTATATGTGCATGTGCATGTGGTATGCATGCATGTGTATGTAGCCCCAGGATGCCCTGAGGTGAGGTATGCCTTCTGCCCAGATGGGCAGGATACTTTAGGCAGAGGTTTGGGTAGAATATGGGACTCTCTGGGCTCTCTCTGGAAGGATTAGAGGCTGAATGTTCCCAGAGCAGAGGTTCTTAATCTGGGCTCTGTGAGCTTTTTCTCTTAAAAAAATATTTTGGCACTCTGTTTCAATATATTTGGGTTCCTTTGTAATTCTATGTATTTTATTTTATGCATTTACAAACATTATTCTGAGGAATCCATAGGCTTTATTAGACAGCCAAAAAACTTTAATAAACAGTGTCTTTGAGGCCTCCTGTCTCTCTGGCTTCCCAGGCTCTGGCAGCAACTTCATCATTTGGAGTCTTTTTAATAAGCCAAATTGGAGCAGAATCTAGGCCAGACTTCTCCACACTTTCTAGACTTTGGGGCCAGGCCCAAATACAAGGAAGGGCATTTCTTTACTATTAACCTTTGATATACAACTGGAAATGGAAGGGTGAATCTCTCTTATCTTAAAGATTCTTCTCTCTCTCTCTCTCCTTCCCCCCCTCTAGCTTTTGGGCACCAAATGAACCAAACAACAAAGAAAACAGTGAGCATTGCGTCCACTTTTCAAAGAACAGACGTCAATCGTGGAATGATAACAACTGCTCCTTACCCTTCCTGTTCATCTGTAAATGGGACTGCAAGTCATCTGGGTTGTGTCCTTGAACGTGAAGGCAGTCTCTGAGCTCTGCTGTCTCTCACACCTGAAGAATGGACACAGATGTCAAACACCTTTCCACACGTTCTCTCCATTTTGTACTTCTTACTTAAAGTCGAGCATTCTGGGTCTGATGAGCTGGGCCAAGTAATGCTCCCAACCCATCAAGCAGCCACAGACCCTTCTTTTCACTTCATCATTGCTGGAGTGATGGCCCAGCCATGCCACCTGCATGCATACTTCATGAGACTTTTCACACACATATGTATATGCATATATATAATATATATGTACATACCTATACATATATACATGAAATTTTTTTATATTACTATGGTGCCTTTTAGCAAAATGTAGTTTCTCTGATTATCTCTTTTTATTTAGATCTATTTTTGCTTTTGCTTTGTCTGAGCTCATAATTGCTACCCTGGCCTTTTTTTTTTTTACTTCAGCTAAAGCATATTAGATTCTGCTCCATCCACTTACTCTAATTCTATGTCTTTCTGTTTCAAGTGTGTATTTTGTAAACAACATATTATTGGGTTTTGGTTTCTAATCCATTCTGCTATCTGCTTCTGTTTTATGAGTGAGTTTATCCTATTCACAGTTATGGTTATTTACTGTATATTTGCCTCTATCCTATTTTCTTCTGTTTATCCTTCTCTTTTCTTTGCTTCCCTTGTGTCTTATGTTTGAATGTCGGATAGCTCTGGTCTTTTTATCAGGAATGTTTGAAAGTCTTCTTTTCATTAAATGTCTTTTTTCCCCTTCAGGGATTGTACTCAACTTTTTTCTGGGCAGCTTATTTCTGGTTGTAATACTAGCACCTTTGTCTTCTGGAATATCATATTCTAAGTCCTCCGCTCCTTTAACATGAAAACTGCTAAATCTTGTGTGATCCTGACTGTGGCTCTACTGTACTTGAATTGTTTCTTTCTGGATTTTTGCAATATTTTCTCTTTAACCTGAAAGTTCTGGAATTCATCTATAATATTCCTGGGAGTTTTTGTTCTGGGATCTCTTGAAAGAGATGATCAGTGGATTTTTTAATTTCTATTTTATCCTCTGGATCTAAGATCAGGGTAGTTTTCCTTTCTAATTTCTTGAAATATGATGTCTGGACTCTTTTTTTGATTCTGGCTTTCAGCCAGTCCAATAATTCTCAAGTTATATTTCCTTGATCTATTTTCCTGATCAGTTGTTTTTCTTATGACATATTTCAGATTTTCTTCCATTTTTTCATTATTTTGACTTTGTTTCATTGTTTCTTCATGTCTCATAGTGACATTAGCTTCCAATTGCCCAATCCTCATTTTAAAGGCATTATTTTCTTTGGTAAGCTTTTGCACTTCCTTTTCCACTTGCCTAATTCTAATTTCAAGGGGCTTTTTTCTTCAGTGAATTGTTGTGCCTCTTTGACTATTTGGCCAATTCTGTTTTTTAAGGCATTATTTTCTTCAGTATTTTTGGTGTTTCTTTTACTAAGCTGTTAATTCCCTTTTCATAATTTTCTTGTATCATTCTCTTTTTCCAATTTTTCCTCTATCTCTCTTATCTTTTCCTTTAGCTCTTCCAGGAATTCTTGTTGGGCTTGTAGCCAATTAACATTTTTCTTTGAGACTTTGGTCGTAGTTGTTTTCAAGTTGGTTTATCCTTCTGAGTTTGCCTCTTGGTCTTTCCTGCCACCATATTAGCCTTTATGGTCAGGTTCTTTTTGTTGTTTGCACATTTTCCAAATTGTTTCTTAATATTTGGAACTCTTCCAAGCTTTGGGCTTTTTCATCCTGCTGTTTTCAGAGCTGGTTCTTTGGATCTGCAAGTTTTTGGTGCTTTCAAAGTGGTTTGATTAGAGGAAAAGTGTGGTCACTGTTCTCATGGCTTGTGCTCTGGAATTTACCTAGGAAGTACCCTCATCCCCCTGCCACCACAAATACTAGTGCTCCTCTTGGCCTTGGAACTGTGACTAGAAGTACTGCTTTCCCATAGCTGCAGGTGATGGTGCTCCTCTTTGTACTGGAACTATGATGAGCAATAGAGTTCCAAACACCTTCCAGTCCTGCACTCAGTGTCAGCTCAAGGTCCACTGTAATCTATTTCTGACAAGTTGTTTGACACCTTACAATCTCTGAACTGAGAGCTCCCAAATCTACTGCCACCACTGTGGCAGCTGTCTATGGACTCAAGGCCAACTCCCATTCCAGTGTCACAGACCTCTCCTGTTGACCTCCTAATCTGTCTTGGACTGAAAAAAAAAAGTCTCATCTTGACTTTCTGTTGACTCTACCACTCCAGAATTCAGTTTGAGGCATTATTTTAAAGTTGTTTCAAGGGGGATGTTGGGAGAGTTCATCTGGGTTGTTGCCTCTACACCATCTTGTCTCTGACCCCCCCCAAAAAAAAAAACAGTAAAATACCTCAGTTTTTTGATATGTAAGATGAAAGAGTGGACTAGATGGCCTCTAACATTCCTTCTAGCTTTAAATATATAAGTTGATGATTATTATTAGTAGAAGAACTATTACCAATGTTATTGTTATTATCGTTGTTGTTGTTGTGTTGTTGTTGAAGAGTATTCTAGAAGCAAAAGTGAGCAACCCTGATGGTTTCCCTAGGGAAATAATGATAATTTACCACCAAACCTCATGCCTTGGACATTCCAACCCAGATGGTGACTTGAAGTTGGGAAATTTATGAGTTGCTCAGTGATGCTGCATGTGGGAGTAAGGTTCCTGTTTTCTATCTCTTACTTCATAAATCAAACCCAATTTCAGACCAGTGGAAAAAGTGAAACTGCTTTATTTTGATATAAGAAGAAATTTCACTTCTTCTTAGTTCCAATTGGACCCACCATGAAGAAGACATACCAAAGAGGATAATGTCTGGGGATTTGGGAGACGAGAAAGGTTGCCAGGTTATTCTCCTCCTGTTCTCCTAATGTATCGCTTGCTAAGGTTATATAGCTAGTTAATTGTAGAGTGTGGACATGAATCTCAGGTCTTTCGATGCAACACAGGGCCATATTTCCATGATGTCTTTCTGCCTTCTGACTGGCCTGAGTTATTAAAGGGAATTCAAAGTACTAGATCAAAGCAAGGAATTGGGGTCAAGAGTGAGGATGATGGTGATGGGAGTGGAGGAGGGGAAAGGTAGATCTCCCCAGAATAAAGTCAGGAAAGCATCCTGGAGGGAGAAGAAAAAAGTCATTGGAGAATGAAAATGTATTTCATGGAAATTTTCCATCCCAAAACACATTTTTAAAAAATGACTTCATCAGTACTTCTTTGCTATGCTCCATCTGTGTCATTGTGGGCCTGAAAATTGATAGAAAGTTTGATAGGAAGTCAATGGCCAGCTAGTCTAAGTCATGTTTGGAGAAGAATCCCTACTACAATATATTTAACAAATGGTCATCTAGCCTCTGCTTGAGGACTTCCAGTAAGGGAGACTGTCTTCTGAGCTCTTTCAAGGCCAGACTTGGCAATGTTCCACAGTTGTTATTATTATTTTTTTCATTCTTTGTCATTTTGACTTAATGACTATCAAAAGGAGTTTCAATCAGATAGTATTAAAGCTTCTCCTTTCTCTTCTCCTCTCTCTCTTTTCCCCTTTTCTCCTTTTATTTCCTCTCATCTCCTCTCTTTTCTCTTTCCTTTTTCTTCTCTTTCATAATCCTCATAGTTTTCTGTCTTTATTATTATAAGGGTAGGACTCTACCCACTTAAAAGTAATTACTTTTGCTATGTAAGAACAATTCTTGATTGAGTCAATAAATCAGAACTGAGTGTGAACCAGTCTGAATATCTCTTTGAATCAATAAAATTAATCATTGTATAAAAGACTTGGTCATGCTCAAGGAATTCATATAAAAGAAAGGTGACATCTCTGAACCAGAGAGAGATTCTGAGGGTTTGGAAATAGACAAGTTGGCACAATCATGGCATTCCAGTACATCTCACAGTTGTAAAGGTAAGCTAAAGCTGTGGGGGAGAAAAGGGGGATATTGATGAGGGCCGTTGGCTTTCTTGGAATCTTAGGCAGAATAACTATGCTAGAGGAAGTCCCAAGAAAAGGCTGGCTCTTACACCAATTTTCCTTTCCAGTATCTGTTTACCTGAAAACATAATATAATATAATGTAATGAAATGTAATGCAATATATGTTATGATATGACATGATATATGATATGATACGATATATGATATGATATACAAATATTTCCAGTAAATCTAATTTTGCATTAACCCTAAAAAAGGCAGAACTTTATTAGAAAGATAAAAATGTAAAGTTAAGCGGAAAACCAATCTCTGTCTAAATATTAGGAATTTTTCCCGACTGGGAGCTCAGAACCATTGTGATTGAACCCATAATTTATGTCTAAAATAAACTTCCCAAATATGAAGAAGAGAGAATCACTTGGACTTCATAGATTATTATACATATACGTATATGTGTGTGTGTGTATGTATGTGTGTGTGTGTGTATCACATGTAGGCTGAAATGAGATAAGTAGTGTAACAAGATGCTATATTTCTCTTTGCTTGATTATTTTTTTTCTTCTTTATGCGGTGTTCTCCATCTGAGAAGTACACAGCCCTCACTCCCAGCTGGGTTAAGGCAAATGATTTGGATTCTTTCTTCCCAGTCTTCTTGCTTCTAATTCTGGCCAGAAACCCTGAGGGTCTTCTCATCCCAGTTTGATTTTTTTTTTTTGAGTAGACAAACTAGGACATTTTTTGCCTCATTTCTTACCTAGCCTCAAATCACTGAATGGGTATTGCCTCAGACAAACTGAAACCTGGGAAAGACCTTAGCTTAAAAAGGCCAAGGTCTCCCATTGCATCTAGGGTCATCTCCAGTTGTCCTGATCTAGGTCTTGCCCCTGGACTCAGAAAAACCTGGAGGAGAGAATGAGGCTGAGGACTTTGCAACAGCCCTGCCTCACTTAAATCCAATTCACTTGCAAGTCATGGTATCACCCTCCTGAAGTCATTGATCCGCTTTAAGAACAAAGAACAAACAACAACAATGGAGAGTTCCTGATATTCTTTATAGAACCCTGCCTAATCCTCTAGGTATTAAAGCCACATCTATTCAACCATCTTGATTCCATCCTTTGTCATTTCTACCAAACCTTTCCCTAAAACTATTGCCTTCATATGTAAGTTTTCTGACTCTTCTTCATACCTCAGAGTCCCTAATAACCCTGAGCAGGTAAAGGTGGTGGGGAGAATGGGACAGAAATTAACCATCTTCCAGCATTTTTTTCTGGCACCATAAATCCTTGTTCCCCTTTTGAGAACAAAAAACAATCTCTAACCACAATAAG